TAGATCATTGGTGGGGTTATGCCCAAGTGTAACCTTGTATTACATATCCGCCTACAACATACACAGTCACTTCACGGTATAGCATGTGAAGTGCTTTGAGACATCCTCCCTAGGTGAAAGGCACTATACTAAATGTATGGGCTATTTATTTTGATATTGTATATGTGTATTTTTATATCCATATATAATATCTTACAAGTACACTCTCGCATATCACACACCATACATACATATCATCACGCGCACACACACATACACCTACACTTAGTGCATACATAAGGAGGTCGGTAGAACACAATGCTTTGTGCTTCAGATAGCTCATTGCCCACCATATCTGGATTGCCCAAATCTCTCAGTTGTACAAGAATAGCAATTTTGCAGTGACCAGAGAATGCAATACGCGGCAGCCACATCAATTTAACTGGATGATAAAATGAACAGTATATTGCATATTGCTATACATAGAATTTTTAAATGACATGAAATTAATGCAAAGTTTTGGTTGTATTTAGATCTATTAATTTGGAGAAGTGTGTAATGTAATTTGTCCAATAATAATAATCCTTACATTTGGTATTGCACTTTATTTACCGTGAAATGGAGTGACTGTATTTGTAGGCAAAGGTGACAGCACAATTGCACACAGCAATGTCCCATAAATACCCATGAAATGAATGACTAATTTTTTTGGGGGATTGTTGGCATCAGGAGAAAATCCCTTCTCTGTTTGAATAGTGTCATGGGATCTTTAACAGGCAGACTGGACCTTGGTTTAAATTATTGTACGAAGGATGGCATCTCCAACAATGAAATTAACTTGAATGAAAGGAAATTACATGATGTGTAGAAGTTCAGACTTTAGCATAATCTAACAATTTGGGTGGGGGGTTGCTGGGTGCGGCACAGTAACACAGGGTAATCTTCAAATACGTGGTGTAAATGTCCCTTTAGATATGAAGCTGCCTAAAATTATTTCAACAATTGAAACAAACTAGATACATCCATTTAGTTCTCACTGAACGTACATCATCTTCAGGCTTCCAATGATATGTTGGGTATATTTTTTATTCTTTCACTGAGGCCAGCTTATCTCCCATCTTTGGCATTATATGTACAAGGACAGGCTTTGGTCTAACTTCATCAGCTAAAGAATGAACTGAGAGGAGCTGGGCACTATCAATCTGATCTTCATACAGAAGGATTGTTTTTTTTGTGAGGGTTAATCTTGAATTATGTAACTATGATTTATATAATTACATAACTTGACTATACAAACACCCTGCTTGTCAGCCTTCCCAACTCCTCCCTCCACAGGCTGCAGATAATCCAGAACTCTGCAGCCCGTGTTCTCTCCTGCACCAAACTCCATGACCCCATCTCCCCTGACTCCATTGGCTCCCTATCCTTCAGGGAATCCAGTTCAAGATCCTGGTCCTCACCTATAAAGTCCTCCATGGCCTCGCCCCATTCTACCTCTGTCACCTCCTAACCCCCTACCAACCCGCCCACTCCCTCCGCTCAGCCGGCTCTGGCCTATTCCATGTCCCCCGACCCACCCGCCCCACCATTGGTGGGAGAGCCTTCAGCCACTCTGCCCCCAACCTCTGGAATTCCATCCCCCAATCACTCCGCCTCGCCCCCTCCTTCAAGTCCCGCCTCAAAACCCTCTTCTTCGACCATGCCATCGGCCACCCCCCTTACCCTCCCCTCCCTTCCTCCCTCTGACCCCAGCTCGGGTTTGAAATGCTGTACACCGTCCAGCGCTTTGGGACGTCCTCCTGACGTGAAAGGCACTATACAAATGTAATCTTGTTGTTGTCTGAGGAAGTGAAGAACTCTCCCACTACTATATATTGATGTTGAGCACTCGGGTATAAATTGTGGCCCACCACTCAGCTCATCAATGAATGAGCTTCAGCAAGAGGTGTACCTTGAAGAGGATTCTAACTGTTGAGACGCGTTGCTCATAATCAGTTCACTCACAGTTGGAAGAGGTGATCCAGGAGATAATGCAATGGTAGAGTTCCAACAGTATGGCTTCATTGAGAGGTTGCTGTAGTTGACTTCTGTGTGGGTAAGAACATTTCCCATTGTATACTGTGAACCTTTGGTGCAGGACCAGAACAATCGAGAGGCCTAAAAAGCCCGATTGAGGTATTGCCCCTTAGTTGGGGCAACTCTTGAACAAAGCCACTTATAGTTTCTGCCGATTCCTCCTTGGCTGTTAGTGAAAGATGATTTTTTTTTCCCATTAGTTGCTTTGGAGCATGAGTCAAGGTCATAGTTATATAATGATAATAATCCTTGCATCTGATGTAGCGCTTTTTCATATTTTATAGACGTCTCAAAGCGCTTCACAGAATAGACTGTAAAGTGAATTGATTGTATATTTTTGAGCGAAACGCGGCAGCCAATTGCGCACAGCAGTGTCCCACAAACAGTTGTGGATTGAAGTGACCAATTTTTTTTTAAGGATTATTATCAGGCGTGTGAAGTAAGGAAACTTGCCTCAGGTTTCAACCTGGCTGGAATCAAACCTAGGTCTCTCGCTTGCGAGGCAAGAGCTCTAACCACTGAGCTGCAGGACTCCTAGTTATTAGTTATTACAAATGTACTTTGGCTTTACACTCCTTGTCCCACTAGAGACGAGACAATAATGCAAGCAGAGTGGAGCACTATAATGACCAAATGAACAATGTCAGTGTGTTTAATTTAGGGGAAATGTTGCACTGTTCTGTGGCGGGTACACCAGCCATCAGTTCAAAATTTGTGTCAGAGGATCACAATGTAAAAACAGATTTCACATGTAAAATTAATTTCACTGAAATTTCTCACGCCTTCATCGCTGGATCCTTTACTGGATTGTCTCTAGACTGTTTCAGCTGCATTAAATGTCCATGCAGCATATATTTGTTGGGGAGGGGGAAAGGGTGTCCATATGACACCTATTTACACAAGGATCTGGAGTGGCAGAAATTAACCTAAAAGCTTAAATTTTGGTCAGCACAACCTCGTCTTCCTCACACCCTCCATTTTCTGCTTCTATAAAAAGAGGAAGGATTGTGATACCCAAGATTACAGATGTGGTTAATTAGTTTAATATTTTCCATGTCAATGCAGGCAAACACATAAAAGTAAACATTAAGCCTTAGTTTTCAAAAAAAGATTGTATGCACTCAGGGCTGTGCCATTTGATTAGAAATCTGACAATTTTGTTAAACAGCAAAGGCAAATTTCCTACAGTTGAATGTGAACAAGACTGAGGCCCTCCTGATTGGCTCGCGCCAGCCCTCAGCACCTCAGGCTCTGGCAGCATCAACTCACCAGCCAGTCAGGAACCGAGGTGTCTTGTTCGATCCTCAACTGTCTTTTCTTCCCCACATTCAAGCCATGACCTGCTCTGCCTTCCCTCACCCCCGTAACATCGCCACTACCATTCCTCCCCTCCCTTCTCCCTCCCTAACCCTAGCTCAGGTCTGAAATGCTGTACACTGTCCAGCACCTTGGAAGGTCCTCCCGACGTGAAAGGCGCTATACAAATCTAATCTTCTTGTTGTACTGAACAGTAGAACCAGAGGACACAGCCTGCAATTGAAGGGGGGTAAATTCAGAACAAATCTGCAGAAACACTACATCAGTGAGAGAATAGTAATCTTATGAAACAGGTTCCCTGGGAGACAGTGGAAGCAGAAAATGTTGTTTATTTCACAAACAAATTAGATAGAAAATAATATCTCAGGGTATAGTATAGAGTTTGGGACATGACATGTCAAGCGAATGCCAGGATGGTGGAAGGCAAACTAGATGGATATTTGGCGTCTTTCGCCTAGCAAATTCTTATGTTCTTAGACATCCTCCTGATGTAAAAGGTGATATATCAAATGGGAGAATTATTATTTATTATTACCCAATCCTCTGACAGTAAACTTGGGAAGAAAATGACATATTCACATCACCTGAAACACTTTATATAAAAATTACATTTATATTAGATTAGGAGAAAGAGTATATGAACAAACCTAGAATACAGAAACCTGTCTGAGTGCTCTTGGTAGCTCAGTGGATATTTGCACTGTGTGATACTGGTTCATCCCCTGTGCTGTGCGGTTCAGCCCAGCACTGTGGTAAGAGTGATACAGCTGCCCTTAGAACCAATGTATAAGGAGAAGAGTGATTAGTCAGGTTTCCCACTCCTAAAATTAGAAATATCTCATTATATTAGCTTTAACATCACTGTACTAATGTTCAAGATTATGTAGGATTGGACAAATAATAATATAAGAAAAATAAGAATGAATTCTGCACAATCCTAAATTTTATAGTGATGGATTTGAGGCTCAGATCATCAGGAAATTTGGGCCTCTGATCGCTTTATACCACACTTTGAGGTGGTCTGTATGTTGAAAGGCTACACAGAGTACCTCAGAATAATATTTTTGTGTTGGGATTGGCCTGAAATTTTCAAAACAATTGTCTGTCTTTAAAGCATCAATGTGAATCTGAACTGCTTGTTTTTAAAACACCAGCAGTACTGTTGGAGTTTGTGTGTGTATACTGTATATATAATGTTTTTATTGTGAATTATACATTAAAGGCTGCATCTGAAATCCATTCTCATTTGGATGTGATTTAAAAGTGTGAGTCTGGCTCGGTTAGAAGTACTTTCACCTTCGGAACTTCACAGTTGAGTTCACAGTCTCGGTTGATTCGTCAGAGGAGATATTAAGTTAAGGTTCTTTCTTGCTGTTCAGATGGACATTAAAAATCCATGGTACAATTCGAAAAGAGAAGGGCAACAATTTCCCCAGCTAAAATTAGTCATTCACTACATGTGCACATATTGGCTGTTACATTGACCTACAAATACTACACTTTGCAGAAAGATCCTGTAAAGTGCTTTGAAATGTTTCAATGACTTGAAAAAGCACTGTGTCAAATCCAAGGATTCTTCTTATCAACAGACTTTATTAAAGACAATTGCATCTTTGTTTATTTTACAGGACCTTTGCAATCAGGAAAATTAGAGACACTTTTCGAGAAAACAAAAATATGCTAAATCCTGAAGGTATCCAAGTACTAATGGACAAGGCTAGCGAGAACCTAGAAATTATTCGACGTCAGGTAAGGCAGCTGTGGTCGTGACCTCTGCATATTACAGACATCTGCTGTGCCAAAGTATTTGATGTTGCACAAATACAATGTGACTCTTATAACTTATGACGCAGTTGCATTCCTAACCCTGTTCATTGTGCACAGCTGGCTTTTTGCTCTAAAATGGCTGACTTCTGGTTCATTAATTTGCCAGTTCCTGCTTTACTGCACAAGCAAATGAATCATTAGGCATCAACCTAATGACTGGGAGGGAGTTGACCATTTTTAATTCATGCACTTAAAAAAACATCTGACATCCAGTTTATCAGGTCAGCACCAGTGTCACTTTGCGCATGCACAGAAAACAGGAAATGATCTTCTGGTGACCCGATGACCTGGAAATCGACCACTTTCTTTCAGCTCAGGAATCAGCTGTGTGCTCTGCACGCCTGCTGGTTGTGTGTATGTGCATTGTTGAGGTTACTTTACAAAACATGAAGGAAGGTATGTCAGCAGGGGTCTCCCGGTGTGTGCTGCAATACATAAACAGTGATGTCAGAAGCAATCTGAAGGCCAGAGGTCAGACATTTTTATACACTTTGGTCCAATGGAGGGACTCTGTGGGACAGGAAGAAAGAGGACTGCAGTCAAACCTGTAGTCTGCAACCTCTCAGGGTACTGGGCCAAAGTTGCCTTTATGTAAGGGGCCTTGGAATAAGGATTTGTTTATGGGATCACACACTGAAAGGGCCTGTTCCAAGGTGATTGTTATGAGGGGTTGTTGCTGAATGGAGGTGGTTGTTTGAACAGGTTTGATTGTATTTTCAGTTGCTGAGATTTGTTGCCTTTTGAACTTTATATTCTAGCATAAAGCATAAATGTAGTTAGGCAGTAACATCTGGAGTGGTTGCAGTGTTTGATAGTTCAGCAAATTTTTCAATAATTCATCAATGTAATTTAAACTGTAAATTGTCTTCAACTGCACTCGATCCTGTGTTCTTCGTAGTAAGTAGAGGTGGCATCGTTTGAAGTTTCTTCAAACTGTGTTTTTATTTTGCTGTTGGTGGTCATCGTAGTTAACCCTGAGGATGAGCTAGTTGCTGCAGTTGAATTAACATGATTTGAACTGTGGTGCCAATGTTTCTATATTTCGCAGTGAAATGGGGTCCTACCCCATTTTTGTTTGTATCAGAAACAAAAGATTAAAGGGTAAAAAAATCTGAAATATTTGCAGGAAAAAAGTCTGCAGTTTCCTGTAGCTGCAGCCGAGGAGAAGAACTAGCGCTGAACCCATTTCAAGAAATTGCCCTGATATTACTCAGTGATGCTTCCCTCAGCACCAGTCTACTTAAGCATGCATTGTCTTTTGTCTAGTTCTTTATCCATAAACGCTGTCTCGTTCAGCACTCGGGACTATTGCACTTAATTGTCCTCCAAAGCTCTGTCAGCTTCCTTCAGGGAGGCTATTAATTGGATAGTTGGATTCAAAGTGGGTAAAAGCTGCCTATGTACAAACCTAAATTGTAATATCTTTAAACCAAAATTGTAATATCTACGTCACTCGGCTTGTCAGTCTTACAAGGAAATTTTGTAAAGATGGGGCCGTCTGATTAATATTTTCAGAAGATCCTAATCGTTGTCACAGGTGATGAATGTTTTGCCGTTGCCCTCCATTGACAATTTGCATTTGGTTGGTCCTCGGATTCACCACAGAAAGGCCTCAAGTTAACTTCCACTTTCTGCTCTCTAGTTTTCAGACACTTCCATCCTCAGAACAACAAGATTGCATTTATAGAGCGCCTTTTACGTCGGGAGGACAGTTAGATCGGGACCCGAGCAGGGGGGAAATGGTGAGGGGAGGGAGCGAGGAGGGGGTAGAGAGTCGAGAGGGGAGTTGAAGGCAGAAAAAGGATATGGTTCCTTCTCAAGATAACAGAAAAGCCATTTGTGGAATCTTTAGCTCAAAAGCTTTAACAAGAACTGCTGGAAACCAGCTTCTGAATTAATTTCCCAAAATTCTGTATCATCTTATATTTTTAGACGATGGTCTTAAGGCTAACAGCAATTTTACATCAGCCTGGTTATGTGCCTGCACAATGTAAGCAAATTATCAAATGCAAGGATTATTATTATTTATTGAAAGGAATACGGCCGGGGCAAAACGTTAGGCAAGTTACCTTACTCCACACCCCTCTGTTTACCGAGCAATAAGTAGGAACATAGTGGTTAGTCAATCGGTGGATTGCTTTCTGGGAGTAATAATTCCAGCTCCCCCACCAAAACAACATGAATAATTACTTGATCACTCGCCCATAAAATGCACAGTCAATCCAGTTTACGGTATATTGTGTGAAGCGCTCTGAGACATCTCAACGATGTGATAAGGCGCTATATCAAATACAAGGATTATTATAATTATAAACAGTAGGTCCTATTTCCTAAAGTAATTAAACAAACCTTTGAATCTTGCTGGTTGTTGTGGTTGGTATTTCCTGAGGTCCTTCTGATGTCTGTTTTCTAACCCTCTCATAGCTGTGTATTTAGCTGTACATTGCTAGCTCATACCTGCACTGTGTAAAAGGCAATGTCATTATTGCTTGATTGCTTGGGGTTTTGAGATGCCGTAGCTAGTTTGTACTTTGTTGACTCAACAAGAAATGCAATTGTCTCGAGTGCTTATTGAATTCTGTTCTCTGCGCAATATTAATCAGAATAACTATGCAATTTTTATTATATGGCACAACCTTTTTTTTAAAATGTCGATCAAATTGAATCTGTTTTCAGTTTATTGGCAACCTCTATCTCCTATGAAATGATTCTTTTTTCTATTGTGTTCACATTTATGGCTTACTCATCACTACAGCAGGTTGGAATGAAGTGGTTCTGAAATATTTGTAAGATCCCATTGCAAATAAATTGCAAACATGCAACTTGCTGCTCTAAACCTGTCGTTCCATTAAGGCTGGAGTGAACTGTCCAGCGATGTATTTTTTTCTCCCTTGAATAAAGGACAGTCACAAAGCACGAGATGAAGACTGAATGATTTTTTTTAGGGCAGCCAGGTGTGCAACACGTGTAGAAGCCCCATCACCTTGCTTAAGAATATCCAAACTAGAGTTCCATGCATCCGACCTACACATGGAAATTCCTGAGATAGACCGAATGCATAATTATCTCAAAGTTTCCCAATTCCAACTGGTCCCCAGTCGATAGGCACTATTAGATAAGGTTGATAGACTTTCTGAACACACGTGTGTGTGTATATATTTGTATTTATATACACACACACACGTAATTCTGTTTTTGTTAAAAAATCTGCATAATCTTTTTCCCTCACATCGATTTCCTGGTTTCAGCCCTGATGTTTAGGAAGTGTGAATGAATGCCAAACATTTCACCATAGGGAGTGGTTCAAGACCTACCTGTTTGACTGTGCTTTCGGTCATCTTTCTCTTTCCCTACCTCCCTTGGTTCCCATTCTCAGCTCAGGTGCCAAGCTGTTATTGTTAAATGCCTTGGGACGTCCTCCCGACATGAAATATAAATCTGTTTTGCATTCTAATATTGAGACAATAAATTGCCTTGCTTTCAGTGGTAAAGATCTGGGTAAAGGTAGTCTGCCTCCTCTCAAGAAGACTGAATGCATTTTTTGGGTCAGCCAGGTATGTGCGCCCTTTCGAAACCCATCACCACACTTAACAACAACAACAAGATTTCATTTATAGAGCGCCTTTCACGTCGGGAGGAGACCGGTTTAGAGGAGTATCCAAACCAAAAAGAGTTCCATGCATCCCACCCATACATGGAAATTCCCAAGATGGACTTTTCCAGGCTATCTTGCCTGGGGTGGGTGGGAGGGGAATGGATGGATTTGTTCTTTTAGTATATTGCAATTCATGTTTCAGTGAAGGAACTGTTTTTCTCCATGAGTAACGTATAGCTTCATTGGTTGGCTAACAGCCTTTGAGACCAGACATTGTTGGTTTGAATATCAAGTGGCTTCCTCTACCCTTTGTGAAATTCCTTAAAATGAGTGCAGTGCCCAACAGAGAGCAAGGTCTCTCTGGAGTTGAGCTAACGTCCAGAAGACACATTTGCCAAAGCCAAATGGATCGACAATAATTAAAGATTTTGTTGAGGGTTGTCAAATATGTCTGTCTCAAAATGAGACTTGGAGGTGTAAATGTGTCCGGAAGCCCCAATTAATAAGACATTCCAAGCTGAACAAGTCATGTGAACCTTACCAGTGTAAGTTTCCCCACCTGAATCTTTGGTGGCTTTATGTAAGTGCTGGCTTTAACGGCTTGTGTTAATGTGAGATCCAGTCATGTGCATCAGCCTGTCTCAGTTGATAGCACTCTCGCCTCTGAGTCAGAAGGTTGTGGGTTCAAGCCCCACATCAGGCCTTGGAATCACGCCGTCTAAGCTGACGCTCAATTTGCAGCGTTGGTCGGAGGTGCCGTTGTTCGGATGAAACATTAAACCGAGCTCCTGTCTGCCTGTTCAGGTGGACTTTAAAGATCCCATGGCACTATTCTAAAAGAGAATAGAGTTTCTCTCTCTCCCCTGGTGTCCTGGCCAACAATCCCACCAAATAAAATATGTCACTCAATCCATGACTATTTGTGGGACACTGCTGTGCGCAAATGGCTACCACATTTTGCCCACAAAATACACAGTCACTACACTTTATAGTGTATTCTGTGAAGCGCTATGAGACATCTCAACGATGTGATAAGGCACCATATCAAATGCAAGCATTATTATTATAGTGTTAAGTAGTGGTAAAGTAGGTGGTTACCATTATGTTACATCAATCAGCAGTGCTTGTTCATATTTGTTTGTAAAATGCTACAACCTCTGGTGCATTATTTAACTAATTTAAATGGGAACAATGTTTCATATGAAATTTGAGTTTTTTTTTGCTTTTGGAGAGAAATCTAATTAACTGAGGAAAGGAATATGCAGAGATAATTTTGCAAGAGGTCGAACTTGGTGCTGTTCTGAGTGCTTCTGCATGATCAGAAGTG